TTGTGGCAGTCCTTTATTAATTTCTCTAGAAAAGAATTTTCCAATCTCCCACTTAAGAATATAAGTACAAATATTCCATGCAAGGGAGAGGAGAAGTAGAGGAATTAACTGCTTTATACCCACATCATCTATAATAATTCACACCTCCAAAGATTCAGCTTGTCTGGAGTTGTCTGTATTGAACTGTTTCCTCCATTCCAAATGAACCTGTTTATACTTTCAGTTGTGGCTTAATACACCCTGCTATATATAGTGGTAACTATGTATATTTACCACTCTTCCCTCCACTTTCTTTTTTTACCTTCCAGCTATATTACTGACATGTAATTAATACAGAAGTTAACATTAAACAATGTGCTGACTTGACACACGTATATATTGCAAAATGACTACCAGAGTAAGTTACCTTATATCTCTATCCCCTCGTATAATTATCATTTTTGTATGTGGTGATAACATTTATGACCTACTCTCTTAACAACTTTCAAGTATATAATAAAGTATTGTTAATTATAGTGACCATGCTGTATATTAGATCTTCAAAACTTACTCATCTTATAGCTGTAACTTCATATCCTTTGACCAACATTTCCTTATTTCCTCCACCTCCCAGTCCCTGGCAACCACCATTCTACTCTATTTCTATGAGTTTGGGTTTATCGATTCAACATCTAAGAGACACCATGCAGTTTTTGTCTTTCTCTATCTGACTTACTTAACTTAGCATAATGTCCTCAAGGTCATTCCATGTTTTGCAAAAGGTAGGATTTCCTTGTGTCATGGCTGAAACATAGATATATAGATATATACATATAGGTATATATAGATATATATTCTTTATCTGGTTATCTGTCAATGAACACTTAGGTTGTTTCTGTATCTTGGCTCCTGTGAATAAAGCCTCCAGCTTTGTTCTTTCTTAGAATCACTTTTCTATCCAGGGTTTTTTGTGGTTCCATACAGATTTTAGAATGTTTTTTCCTATTTTTTAGAAAAATGCCATTGGAAATTTGATAGGAATTTCATATAATCTGTAGGTCACTTTGGGTATTATAGACATTTTAACAATATTAATTCTTCTGATCCATAAACATGGGATATCTTTCCATTTATTTGTGCTTCTTCAATTTCTTTCATCAATGTCTTATAATTTTCAGTGTACAGATATTTCACCTCCTTGGATACATTTATTCCAAAGTATTTTTTTATGTTTGATGCTATTATAAATGAGATTGTTTTATTTCTTTTACAGATAGTTCACTGTTAGTGTATAGAAATGCAACTGATTTTGTGTATTGATTTTGTCTCCTACAACATTATTGTATTTATTTATTAGTTCCGGTTTTTTTACGGAGTCTTTAGGATTTTCTACATATAAGATCATATCATCTGTAAATAGAGAATATTTTACTTATTCTCCTTCAATTTGGATACATTTTATTTCTTTTTCTTGAATAATTTCTCTTGCTAGGATTTCCATTACTCAGTTGAATAGGAGTGGTGAGAGTGGGTACTCTTGTCTTCTTCCAGATCTTAGTGGGAAAGATTTCAGCCTTCCCCACTGAGTATGATGTTAGCTGGGGATTTGTCATATATGGACTCTGTTATGTTGAGATATATTTATTCTATTCTAATTTGCTGAGAGTTTTACTGATGAAAAGATGATAAATTTTGTTAAGTGCTTTTTCAGAATCTATTGAGATGACCATATAATTTGTATCTTTTCTTCTACTAATGTGGTATAGCACATTAATTGATTTGCGTATGTTGAACCATTCTTGCATCCCAGGAATAAATCACACTTGATCATGATGCATGATACTATTAATATACGGTTGATTTCTGCTTGCTCGTACTTTGTTGACAGTTGTTGCACCTCTATTTACCAGGAATACTGGCCTGTAGTTCTGTTTTCTAGTAGTGCCCTTAACTGGCTTTGGTATCAGGGTAAGACTCACCTTGTAAAGTAAATTTGGGAGTGTTCCCTCCTGGTCAATTTTTAGAGGAATTTGAGAAGAACTGATGTTAATTCTTCTCTAGATGTTTGATGAAATCATCCAGTCCGGGGGTTTTCTTTGTTGGGAGGTTTTTGATTACTGTTTCAATCTCTTTACTCATAAATGATCCTTTCAAATTTCCTATTTCTTCCTGTTTCATTATGGCTAGGTTGTCCAGGAGTGTGTTGTTTACTTTCCACACATTTATGAATTTTCTAGTTTTCCATCTGCTACTGACTTCTAGTTTCATACCATTGTGACCAGAAAAAATATTTAATATGATCTCAATCTTCTTACATTTGCTAAGGCTTATTTTGCGAACTAATGTATAATCTACCCTGGAGAATGTTCTGTGTACACTTGAGAAGAATGTGTATTCTGCCACTGTTGGGCGGAATAACCTGCATATGTTTTTTAAGTCCATTTGGTCTAAGGTTTAGTTCAAGTCCTGTGGTTCCTTACTGATTTTCTGTCTAGATGATCTATTCATTGTTGAAAGTGGGGGTATTTAAGTCCCCTGTTATTACTGTATTGTTGTCTATTTCTCCCTTCAGAGCTGTGAGCATTGTTTAACATATTTAGGTTCTCTGATATTAGATGCACCTCCACTCTCTTTCTGCCAAAGATTTATTATGCCCTCTTCATTCTCATTATGAATTAATGAAAAGACAGTAAATATCAGCAGAGAAATAAAAACTATGTAGAACAACCAAATGTAGATTCTAGAACTAAAAACTGTACTACCTGAAATAAAGAATTCATCATTTAATGCACTTAACAGTCAAACAGAGATAACAAAGGAAAAGAGTCAGTGCACTTGAAGATATATGAACAGAAATTATCCAGTTAGGAAAAAATCAGATTAAAAAAAACAAACAAACATGAAAAACAGAGCCTGAGGAATATGAGGGATAATATCAAAAAGTCTAACCTAAGTAGAACTAGAGTCCTAGAAAAAAAGGAGAAATAACATAGTGAAGAAAAAATATCTGAAAGAACAATGGGTGAAAATTTCTCACATTTTATAAAAGACATAAAGTACCAGAGTCAAGAAGCTCAGTGAATCCCAATGTGAACATCATAGTCAAACTATTGAAAATCAAAGATCAAGAGAAAAATTTGAAAGCCATAGGGGAAAGAAAAACACCCATTACATACTGTGGAAAAACAATACAAATGACTATTGATCTCTCATCAGAAACTACAGAGGCCAGAAAGCAATAGAAATGAAAACAAAATTGAAAAATTATCGACCTAGAATTGTAAATCCAGAAAATATCCTTCAGAAATTGTTATGTGCTGAACTGTGTCTCCTAAAAAGAAATGCTGAAGTTCTAAACATCTTAGAATGTGACATTATTTGGAAACAGGGTCACTGCAGATGTATTCAAGATCAAGTTATACTGTGGCAGGCTGAGCCTTTAATCCAATAATGACTGGTGCCCTTATAAGAAGAGGAGAAGACATACAGGAGAACATCAGGTGATAACGGAGCCATATACTGAAGTGCTGCAACTGCAAGCCAAGGAATGCTAAGATTGCTAGCAAAACACCAGAATAAAGGAAGACACAAGGAAGGATTCTCTCCTGCAGGTTTCAGAGGGCGCATGACCCTGCTGACACTTTGATTTTGAACTTGTAGCCTCCAGACCTGTGAGAGAGTAGATTTTTTTTTTTATTAAGCCACCCAGTTTGTGGTGCTTTGTTATGGCAGCCCTAGAAAACTAATACAGGAATGAAAGCAAGAGGAAAACATTTTCAGATAAAAGAAAACTAAGGGAATTTAAGACCAACACACCTGCACTATAAAAGTGCTAAAGGAAGTTCTTCAGGCTGAAGGGAAATGATTCCAGATGGAAACTCAGATTCTCAAGAATGAATGAATAAATGAATGAATGGCATCGAAAATGGAAAATAGTTTAGCAATTATAAAAGAAGAAAAGAAAAGCTGCTTTTTTAATACAGAGTGATCAAGAAGAGTATCTTTCATAAAGTGGCATTTGTGTTTCAGACATTAGTGTTTATTTACTTAATACTGGTAGAGATTTAAGAGACATACATGTAGTTAATATTTTAATCCTGAATTCTTACACAGATTTTATACTATTGTAAACATTATAATATATTCTAATACCTGGAAGGACAATATCTACCATGTTAATAATATTTCAAGAACCCCTCAGTCATTTTCAAATACAACATTCCTTTAGAACGCCAATAACCTAAGACAGGAGCATTATGGTAGGCTTGCTAAATGTCTAGCACACTAAAAGATCACTCGAGATCATATATGCATCATTCTAAGATAGGCTGGTCAATGGATAAAGTAAATTTCAAGATAATCTTTAACATTATTTTTGAAAATAGCATTAACTTTTCTCCACAATTTTTTACCACATATCAGTTTGAGTTTTACATCCTTTACCAATGTCAATTTTTAGGTGATTATAAAAATGACCCCCAAATATCAAAAATGTAAGTAAAGTTGGGAAGAAAAATAATCTAGGGTAGGAAGTAGTACTAGCTTCTTAGTATTTTATTAACCGAGTCTCCCAAGAAAGATAAGTCATATATAAGCAAGGTTTCCTCCAAGGACCACCCCATCTCAATTGAAAAGGGCCAGAAATAGTTCTAATTTAAACTACTGGTTCAGTCCATTTTTCAACTGAACCAATAGTTTCAATTATAACTATGGTATCAACAAAGATGCCAATTTTCCATCTGACTTCTAGGCTTTCATTACAACAAAGAATAAAATTATACCAAAAAAGTATTACTTTTATGGAACCTATTTTTGGTTCAGAAGACAACTGCTAAAATTGGGGGAGAAAATTATAGGCATATATCCCTCTACACCTATTCTGTGGTCAATTTTAACAACTCATATAACTTATAAATAACTCCTCTCAGTCAACCCAAACTAAAGGAGATCTAAAAAGTAAACACCTAATAAATATATTACAGGGAGTCCAACCTGGCAGCATATGAAGATCCTGAACTCACCTCCTCCTGTGGACACACCAAATCTTCAACTACATATGGATCATTTCCCTATGAAAAAGATCCGAAAATGAGATGAACTTTTCTCCACGATAAAGGATAGAAGAATCACATCAAGATGGATAGGAAAGGCAGAGACATAGTCTTGGCAAAAACCACAGCTCAGTGCAGCAACACACAAGATGAAGGGATCTCACCAGTCCAGTGCTTCTCCTGGAGGAGGAAGGGGTTGGTGCCCCACATCAAGCACCTTAATCCCTGGGATCTGCACCAGAGAGACAAGCACTAAAAACATCTTGCTTAGAAAACCAAAGGGACACAAAGTGCTGTAGGGAACCAAGATTCCCCTTTTAAAGGGCTAGCAGATGGGCTTACTCACCAAAGACCCAGCAAAAAAACAGCACTTTGAAAAGCACCTGGACTATATGTGAAGGATACTCATTTACTAATCTAAAAGCACCTGCAGGAGGGGCAGGAGATGCTTGAAACTCTCTCTCTGGAATTAAAGGAACTGGTAGATGCCATTATTGTATTCTCCACCTACCCTGCTAGCACAGGCAGGCAAGTTTGGACAGCACCTTCCCACCACCCTGCTAAGACAGGCAGGGGCAAGCGGTCACAGCACTATTTTGTTGCCTTCCTGAAGCTGAAAAGCATGGGCAGTTGTAGCACACCCCTACTCCCTGGCTCGGATGGGACAGTAGAAGCAATTGTGGCATTCTCCCACTCCTGGCCTAAAACTGGCACACATCCACAGACAAGGCATTCTCCCACAGCACTGCAGAAACATATGCAAGTACCACACAGTCAAGATATTTTCTCACTGCTTTTCTGAAGCTGGTTAGCATGACTCAGCCCTTTTAGCTATTAGCTGCCTTTGCTAAAGCCAGCGGGTGCATGCAATCCACACAGGGGACACTAGTTGATTACCTGACCTTGGTGGCCAAAGAGACTTGAGCTACAGAGCTCCACAGAACAGTAACAATCAGAGAGACAGTTCTTGGCAGGTCACCACTCTCAGGACACTACACAGACAGCAAACTGAAATACAACTCCAGTCTTCCTGTGAAAAAGGTCTATTTACTTAGCCTGGAGCTTCAGTCTGAGGGACAAGTTTCAGATTTCACATACATCCAGGGATAAGAAGGCACTCCCAGGTAATGTAAGCAGAAAGACACAAGCCCTGGGCATCCCTCTGGCCATGATACAGCTCAACAAGACCTCCCAGAAAGGAGATTATAAACTCATCTGGAGCCCTGAATTTTCCAACTGTCACCCAGGGGACATGTTCCAGATCTCTTGGACTGGTGGCCAGCAGGGATTACGATTCTGGCCCCAAAGGAATGTATACATTTGCATACTTTAAAAGCTGCTGCCTGAAGATTTGGTTGCCAATGAGCCTGAAAATAGGTGCTAAGTGATATTCCTCCCCTGGGCACACACTTACAGGCCTTGGTACACTCTCATCAATGAGGACACATCAAGAATAAATCAGGCAGTTCAGACAACTGCAAAGGTTTGAAAGACAACGAACAGCTAAGGCAAGGTTGAACAAGAAGGTTCCTCACATCCACAAGTCCACACCTTCAAGACTGAGAGAGTTATCTGTTTCACCTAATATAAAGAAACAAATACAGAAAGTCAGGCAAAATGAGGATGCAGAGAAATATTCTCCAAATGAAAGAACAAGACAAAAACCTCAGGAGAAAATCTTTAATGATACAGAAGTAATCTACCTGAAAAATAATTCAAAGTAATGGTCATAGACATGCTCACCTAACTCAAGAGAAGAATGGATGAACACAGTGAGAACTTCAAACAAGGAGATAGTAAATATAGGAAAGTGCCAAACAGAAGTCACAGAGCTGAAGAGTACAATAAATGAACTGAAAATTACACTAAAGGGGTTCAACGGTAGGCTAGATGAGATAGAAGAACAGATCAGTGAACTGGAAGACAAAGCAATGGAACTCACACAGAAAGAACAGTAAGATGAAAAAAAAAATGTTTTTAAGAAAAATAAGGGACCTGTGGAACATGATCAAGTAAAATAACATAGGCAATATAGGTGTCCCAGAAAAACAAGAGAAAGAGCAAGGGCAAAACTATTTGAAAAAGTAATGGCTGAACCCTTCCCTAACTTAGGGAAGGAAACAGACATCCAAGTCCAGGAAGCCCAGAGAATTCCAATAAGATAAACCCAAAGAGATCCAACCAAAACATATTATAATAAAAATGTCAAAAGTTAAGACCATCAGCAGATTTCTGAGAATAAACTTTGCAGGGCAAAAGTGAGTGGCACAACATATTCAAAGTGCTGAAATGAAAAAACTTACAACCAAGAATACTCTATCTGGCAAGGTTATTTTTCAGAAATGGAGAAAAGATGAAGAGTTTTCCAGATAAGCAAAAGCTAAAAGAGGTCTCTACTAAACCAGCCTTATAAGAAATGTTATATGTCACTTCTCTAAGCTGAAAAAAAAGGCACTAATTAATATCGAGAAAACTTATGAAAGTAAAAACCTCGGGGGAAAGGGTAAATATATAAGACGGTAGACCAACCATTCATAAAGCTACCATGAAGCTTAAAAGATAAAAGAAGTAAAATTAGCTAAAAATACATTAATGTGTTAAGGGAACACAAAATAAAAAGATGTAAAATGTGACATCAGAAACATAAAATGTGGTGGAGGGTAGTAAAAATTGTAGAACTGTGTAATGTACTCAAACCTAAGTTGCTATCAACTTAAAATAGGCTGTTATATACATAGGATATACATGTGAACCTCATGATAACTACAAAGAAAAAACTTATAGTAAATACACAAATAAAAATGAGAGAGAGAGAGACGAGTCAAGATGGTTGTGTGGGAAGACCTGGAGTTAGTGTCTCCCCACAACTAGAGCGTCTGCCAGCTACTGGTGGAGGACTCTAACCCCCAAGGAGATGGGAGGATCCTCCCCCCCAAGTGAACCGGTAGGTTGAAGAGGGACCGATGGGGGAGGACAAGTGGAGGCCAGACAAGATTGGTGTCCCTGAGGCCGGGGAGAACAGGAGAGGCAGGGGAGATCAGGAGAGGCAGGTGGGAGGGACTCTCCGGAAAGAGCGGGAGAGGAGCAGAGGGTGATCACCTGTCCCACAGGGGCCAGGAGGCCTGATGAGCTCCCAAGCCAGTCCCCACCCCCCCAACAAAGCCCTATCCAGGCTACATGGGTCCTGGGGGCATAGGAGGGAGTTCAGGGAGATCAGGAGTGGCAGGTGGAAGGGGCCATCCAGGAGGAGCGGGAGAGGAGCGGAGGGCAATTACCCTGCTCACTGGGGCCCGGGGAGCCTGCTGAGCTCCCAGGCTGGTACCCTGCAATCTAAAGCCCCCTCCAGGCCATGTGGATCCTGGGGGCATAACAGGGAGGCTGGGGAGATCAGGAGAGGCAGGCAGGAGGGGCCCTCCCAGACGCCAGGCCAGAGAAGCAGGAGAGGAAAAGAGGGAGTTTGCCCTGCCCACTCAAGGCCAGAAAGCCTGCTGGCTCCCAGGAGAGGTCCCATATCCTCTGAGATGGGGGCAGGGAGGCGGGGGGGGGGGGGGGGGGGGGGGGGGGGGGGGGGTGGGGGGGCTTTTTTGGTTCTGGGGGCGAAGCGGGGGGGGGGGGGGGGGCGGCCGGTGAGAGCATGTGTGGGCCTCTTCTGTTCCTTGAGCCTAAGCCCCACCCCCCACAGCCCCCAGAGCCTTTTCCAGCCCTGTGGGTCCTGAGCATCGGCCCCACCCACCACCCAAACCTTGCCCTTGTTTAGGCCCCCACTCTCCACAGCCAAGGCTTTTCCCCCACCTCCTTTTCTTTTTTTTTCTTTTTCCCTCCTCCTCTTTTTTACTATTGTGGTACGGATGTACCTTCTGATTGCTGATTCATCTATATTTTTATTTTTATATTCTTGCTAACATATCTGTTATTTTCCTACTCTAATTTTATTTTTTACTTTGTTATTGTTTTTTATCTTTTTTTTGCCACCCCATGCGGCTTGTGGGATCTTGATTTGCAAGCATGAGGTCGAGCGGAAGCTCCTGCAGTGGGAGCTCCGAGTCCAAACCACTGGACTAACAGAGAACCTCAGACCCCAGGGAACAGACATTAGAGTAAGGTCTCACAGAGTTCCTCATCTCAGCACCAAGACCCAGCTCTACCCAATAGCCTACAAACTCCAGTGTTGGAAGCCTCAGGCCAAACAAACAGTACAACAGGAACACAATCCCACTCAAAAAAAAAAAAAAAAAAAAAATGAGACAGCAAAAAAAAAATATGTCACAGATGAAGGAGCAAGGTAAAAACCTACAAGACCAAATAAATGGAAAGGAAATAAGCAATCTACCTGAAAAAGAATTCAGAGTATAGTAAAGATGATCCAGAATCTCGGAAATAGAATGGAAGCACGGGTGAAGAAAATAGAAGAAATGTTTAACAAAGATCTAGAAGAACTAAAGAACAAACAGAGGGCGTCCCTGGTGGTGCGGTGGTTGAGAGCCCGCCTGCCGATGCAGGGGACGTGGGTTCGTGCCCTGGTCTGGGAAGGTCCCACATGCCGCAGAGCAGCTGGGCCCATGAGCCATGGCTGCTGAGACTACACGTCCGGAGCCTGTGCTCCACAATGGGAGAGGCCGCGGTGGTGGGAGGCCCGTGTACCGCAAAAAAAAAAAAAAAAGAACAAACAGAAATGAACAACACAATAACTGAAATGAAAAATACACTAGAAGGAATCAATAACAAAATAATGGAAGCAGAGGAACGAATAAGTGAGCTGGAAGACAAAATGGTGGAAATAACTGCCGAGGAGCAGAATAAAGGGAAAAAAATGAAAACAATTGAAGACAATCTCAGAGACCTCTGGGACAACATGAAACGCACCAACATTTGAATTATAGGGGTCCCAGAAGAAGAAGAGAAAAAGAAAGAGTCTGAGCAAATATATAAATTATAGTGGAAAACTTCCCTAACATGGGAAAGGAAATAGTCACCCAAGTCCAGGAAGCACAGAGAGTCCCGTACAGGATAAACCCTAG